GTAGGGCGGTTTTTGATGACCGTTCCATAGGACGTCATTGTGGTTAGTACCTCCCTCAGCGGCTGGAGGAAGAGGGCGTGGTTACCGCCTCATGTTTTTCCTCCAGTGACGGTGACGCCATCGAAGCCGCTCCGCTTTACTAACTGTGGCGTTTCACTACCTTAAAGCAACAGTTCAGGGAGGGTCCGAAAATTTCAATGCCACTACTACTGAGGGATACACGAGCCCTAGTGAAGAACATATGCAGTGGAAATAATAAACGAACTTACCTCAGAAACTCAAAAACAGGGTGGAAAGTCCCTCAAACATGGGTGTTCTTGGGGATTTCCCCAATCCCGCCCCCTTGCCGGCCGTCATTGGACGCGTCGGCAATCGTGCTCGTTTTGGGACCACAGGGAAAATTGATTGAAAAATGGAGCGCGTTTACAGCGGGCACGTTCAGACAACTCGTCCAACGTGCGTCTTTATCCATTGCTGAGCGGCAGAGGGAGAGTACCTGTCTAAGACCCTCCCCGACGTTTTTTTCCAGTTTTTCATACATTAATCGTCTGGTTTTCATCTACAACTTCATTATTGGTGGTTTTTTTTTCCCGCGAAACCGTTCCTGAACTGTTGCTTTAAGTATGCAACACATGGTTCCGCGGCTTACGGTACAATCAACTGTCAACCCCGCTTCACCACTGCTACAAGATCAGACAGAATAACTTCCTAGCTAGTATAAAGATGAAATATAGATAATGATAGCAAAGAAACAGCGATCCAGAATCCGTATTCGCGACCACCATGCTATCGACCTCAATACCTCAGTGAGCATGTCCTTGTTGTTGAGTTTGGGGTATACTTGTTAATTAGCCTTCTTCAAGCAACATTCTTTTACATGTAGCTTCCCTGGAAGCGCTTCGTTGTGGTTGTTGGTTGGCTACAATCGTATTTCTATGGCCGATGTCAGACTTTGCGAAGCGATTCGCGCGATTCGCTAGCGTCCGCGGTCGCGTTGCGGTACCAGCCAATTGAGTGATTCACTGGCCGCGACGCGACCGCAGACGCTAGCGAATCGCGCGATTCGCAAAGTCTGACATCGGCCTAAGCACTGTATTACAGAACGTAAGCAACATTTTCAGACCAACCTCAGTGCTTTATAACACATTCACGATGGCGCCCCTTTTCCACTTTTCGGTCGCGTGGGACGGACGCGATTTGTGGGCGCCGCCGCCTAACCTCACATCCGCAGATTTTGTACTGTAAATGAACAAAAACATGAATGTCACAAAATAATTTCTGCAATGTCCAATGCGTAAAGATTATCTAAACATATAACAGTAGGATTTCGATCAAAACGACGAATAGTGGTAACGAAAAGAGAGCATCAATTCACTTTCCCGTAAGGAACTCAAAATCATTTCTAACTCAACGACGAGATTGACCCAGCTATTTTTTATTCATAGCGCCTGGCAGCTCATCATGGGCTTGCTCAGTAGACACAGACGACTTTTTTCCCGCAATCGCTTCGCACTCCAAGTAATTTTCGGCTGCAGGAACTCCAGTCCACTCATGAACAGCGGTAGAGCTGAGATTCCTGCAGCGAAAAACCCTTTTGTTGAGATAGACCACTTGTGACGCGTATGCGTATTACGCGAAAGCATTATGTTTATGTTTACATTTGGCCTCTAAATGACTTGATGTGTTGGAGAAACCGTAAATTGTGGAGCTTGACCTGTTGTCTCGAGAAAATCATGGCGGCATGTTTTAACCCTTTGACGACCGTGTGGCCCGCCGGTGGGCCACACTTTCGCTCGGTGGCGGCTCGTTTTTCGTGGTTTATTTCAGCATTTTTCATGTTTCAAAAGCACACATATACATTATCGAATCCGCGAAATAATGCGCTAATTACTACAAATAGAATTTTTGTAGAGTTTAATAATTACTGATGAAAAAATTTGAAAAGAAGTGAAGTGACGCATGCATAACGGCGGTCGTCAAAGGGTTAAAGTAAAAATCCATAAAATGTATGCCATTGTTCAACATCCCTTTTGGGATGCGCACGCTATTTATCCTCCCAGTACAATTCTGGTACCAATTAACCGACCCCGGAGGGATGGAAGGCTTGGTTGGCCCGGGCGACTCACGACCCAGGATTTGATCCCCGGACCGCTCGCGTGGTAAGCGTGCCACTTGCCACTACACCACTTCCGCCCCTCGGAGGATGAATAATAGTTTGAAATTGAACTAGTGATGTGTTGGATAAGTATGCGCGTACTTCGATGCGCAAAATAAAAGTGGGCGGGGTTTGTGTGTGTGGGCGTAGTTTCATCTGATGCATGCGTGTAAATGCACGCGTGCATTCGTCTGTGCAAAAAAAAATGGGAAAACATGTTTATGTGTATTTTCCTCTGGAGTTTGGGGCTTGGCTTGTCTGGGAATGTCGCGAGGGGATTTTTTGTGTAACAGAAGACCACATTAAAATTGCTGCTGAACATACCGATTATTTAATGGCTGAATGTAGAGCCTCGCATTGTTTCACATGCGCCATATTCGTTTGGCACTTTTAACGGCCTTGCGGCTGGAAATTGCACGCGCAACGGCTCTAATCGTTTTATTGACTGCGAGAGACAAAAACGAGCAAACGCAACTCGCAAAGAAATTAACTGCGACAAAGTGCATGGAACGTTTTTGATAGCCTTTTTTGAAGGGACCATACTCTATGTAGGGGAGAGGAGAAAAGAGGCGAACTGCTCCCAATCTTTCTGAATGAGCCACGCATTTTACCTCCAAATAACTTCGTGGGACTTTTGAATGGAAATAAGCTCAAAACACTAATGTGCAGCGCTAATTGTGTGAAAATCAGAGATATTGCACATTCAGGCAGTAATGCTCCAATTTGAAGCGGCCAGCTCTCTTAATTTACTTGAAGGGCTCGATTGAGTTTGGTAGGATTCATCATCGCAGGGATCGTCCAAGTGCGATGTGACATGTTGAGCAGTTGCGTTAATCAGATTACCTTGAACTGTTAGAGGGAGAATTCTTCATGAAGATGCTATCCTAAGAATCAACAGCCCGGTATAGATGCAACCAATTTTGAACGAGCTTGGAAAAGTTTCAAAGGGCTCAAAGAATGATCAGTTTTCAGTAGTGTTGAATTGCGACAAACAAGTGCTGACTCACCACATATTGATGGTCATGTCGTATTTCGTCTCCAGTCGGACACAGGCTCTTTTTATTGAGCTTTGTCTCATGGACAACTTTTTTATGCCTAAAATTCGGGGTTTGTTGTTACCACTAAGGCATTATGGTGGTTGAAAGAGGGGAAGCAGACTTACTTCCCCAGTTCTGTTGAAAGTCGTGTACTTCTGGTAGTATCCGCAAATCAGGAAAATCATGTTGCTTAACAAAAGCAGGCTGCTCCTATGCAAAAATAGGGGAGGTATTTTAGCTTATAAGTGAGTAACTTATGGGACATAATGGTTTCTCGGGTACCCGACAGGAGGCCCGTCGCGCGGCAAGAAGGCAGAGTCAGCGGACGAGTCGCGCGTGCTGTAGTGATTTCGCGTCAAGTTAAATGGATTGTATATCCTACATCGCACGGCGCGCCTGCGACTCGTCCGCTGACTCTCCCTCCCTGCCGAGCGATGGCCTCGTGTCGGGTACCCATGGTTTCTCTCTCTACCCTAGTGTAGCTTAATATAGCCAAACTGATGTGGTCATATTTACACAGTGCTGTAATGAGCACACGATTACGAGGCTTTCTAGATTGACGGAACGTATTTATAGTTAAGTGCGATGGGGAACCATATGCCACGCGACCGCACGCCTAAATTTTGTGTTTTGCGCGTGGGTTTGCTTTTGGCGACGCTCCGGCGCGGACCTTTCGGGCGGGAAAAGCAGATTAACGGTTTGATATCGTTTTGATTGAATCTTCACGATTAGCAGCTCAGCGTATAAAATATTCCAATTAATGCACAATTCTGGTTGGCCGTGTGACGTGTTCCTTCCCCCACTCGCATATTTGTAATCCTTTGATCCGACCGGTTTTAATTTCTCAATAATCGTTTGGATATAGCTCCTCTTGCTCTTTACAAGTCAGTAGTGGAATTCCTTAGTACAAAGTTGCTTCTATTTTTATTCAACTAGTGTGATTGTGCAGTTAGGCGTGACGTGCGGGTGGCGTGCTGCTGAGTCATCTTTGCCAGGAAAAAGCTAACCTTTGAAATGCAAGATAGCTGGAAAAGGATTACTTTGTGGATAAAATCTAGCTTCAGTCGTTGCAGACCCTCTTTTGCTCAGTACAAAAGGTCCCTCCTGGGTGTATTGTGAGGTGTCAAGAGCTATGATACTGTACGGTTGCTTTTCTTGACTTCTGAATTGAGACCATTTCCTCCTCAATCTAATCTCACGCCGTGTCATGGACCTTAACTAGAGCTGGACAGATTGAGAGATATGCGAAAGCTTGGTAAGACTTTTTACGGACTAGTTTGGAAGTTTTAACCGGTCCGTTTTTGCCAATTTCATGGCTGTGGATTGTTTACTACAATGATGAGGCAGGCTCCTTTGCTGATTTCTTATTGATTTTACAACTAGGCCCGATCAGTTGCCGGCGCTAAAAATGCGCTATCAGGGGTAAAGCGAGGGCGGTAATTCCTTGATGTTTCCTTCTATTGGGTCCTTAGTCATTAAATTCCTTTTTTTCTTGGAAACCGAATCTACAACTGGTTCTACTGATATGTTTAAGGTCAGCTTTTGAGTGGTGGTGATCGACAGTTGATATAGAATCTGTTCTCCATGTTTTCTAAGCACAATTCTGTGATGGATATAGTCTTGTTGTGTATTTCGTGTTCGAGGCTTATTTGAAATTTCGATTCCTCAACCTCTTAAAAATACTATTTCAGAGGAAGTAGGGCAGACCTCAATGTCATCCGTCTCTTCCGACATCTCCGGTCTTGCTGATATATCATTTCGTAAGGAGAGCATATGTGAAGAGCCGTCACCTGTTGATTTAGAGGTCAATGAAGCGATTGCTCTTCATCGCTCCAAGGAACCGAGTTGTACTAGGTAATCGTTCTGAGATAGTTTTTATCTGCTATCTTGACATATTGCCATTGACTTTCATTTCTGCATAAGATTGATTTCAGTGATTTTTCGGTTTTTTTTTCTTTTCAGGGTTTTGGAGAGATCGTAGGCTGATCTCACATTGCAAAGATCGGTTGAAAGAACGCATGACCGAGAGAAATTCGCCAATCAAACAAATGTATCTGGATAAGATTGTTCAGCTGAGCCTAGAAAAACAGACATTGGAGGTTAGTGTCCTTTTATTTGGAAACTTAGCAATGAAAGAGATGCAATAAAAAGTTAGAGAGAGCATTGTTTGGACTTCCACGGGGAATGTAGGTAGTTTTAGTTTTAGTTTTGGTTTCAAATGAGTTTACGTTTGGCTTGCTCGAAAATGTGAGACAAGGCGTTCAGGTTTTATGCTTTTCTAGTTTTCTTGAATTGTAAAATCGACGTTTCAAATACTGGTCAACTGGAATGTTGGGAATCGTTTTCGATTTCATTTGGTTATTTTTGGTTTCACTCTCCAAATGAGTAGTGTAATTTAGGAAAACGGTGTGAATGGTGAAGATTCGGTGGTCAAAATGCTTCGGCCATGAGTTTGCCCTCCAACGAAGCTCTGGCCGTCGAAATCCCTATTGTGAGGTGTGCATGAGCACAATCTGGCGATTGGTCCAGTCGTGGCGTCGATGTAAAGGTATGAAGTCATTCACATCATCGCATCGTTAAAATAGTTCTGGATTGCAACATGCAAGTTAAATTTCCGTTGTTCAGTTCTTCTCATAATTTCTTACGTTTTTCCCTTTCCCTATTTTTGAAATTCTTTTCTTTAAATACTCAGATTTTGTTTCATACCGATCTACGTGTTGTTCTTGTGTCGGTTGTCCTTGTTTTTTCGTCATTTGTTCCTCGATGTCTTCAATTCATAGACCTCCTCTCACTGATGGAGGCATGTCACTCTCTGTCTGGCCGGGATTGGCAAGGGAGTTGTATTCATGGCCTTCGGGTAAGAAATTGTCTTTATTCAAATAGGCTTTTTGCGACATAGAGGGGAATTTCCACAAAGATCGCGAAATTCCAAAAAAAAATCTCAGGTTTTACTTTATTTCGTACCCTCTCTCCTGCTCGTCCCGCTTGCCTGTCTTAGGTTGACCATGACAACAGTGGTTCTTTGGTGGGGGGAAGGGGGGGGGGAAGGGAAAAATAAAAATCGTTGACCCGCCACGATTGTCCGGGATAAACTTTGTCTTTGAGAATGGCTCGTCCAAGCCTGGATTTACCATTTGAACTATACTTTTGCGAATATTAATTGCTCAAATATTTTTTCTTGAATGGATTAGTTTCATATTACCTATTCGCGGACTTGTTCTAGCGTGCGGTTTGCGAGCCCACGACAAATGTGCAACAGAAGTTCATCGTGTCTGTGCCGGTGTGGTCGCTTCACGTCGAGATTTTCGGCTAGCGATGGCAATCTGCGAAGAAAGAGGTCTATGCGCTCAGGATTATGCTTGTGCTGAATGTGAGACTCCGCTAGCTTACGGTAAGCTCTCGGAAGCTACTTCGTGATTTTTCATAGCAAATCTGTTCTGTGGTTCTGTTTGTACATACTAGGGGCCAGTTGAGCGTATTTTTCTTTGTACAGACGTTCCGAAGAGTTGCGAGTATTCAGTTGAAGTTGTTTCCAGAAGGTCCCGCTAATATGCAGCCTCGTCTCTGCGAGTATACTGGAATGCTGTTTTGTTCTAACTGTCACTGGGGCGATACATGGTCAATACCGGCGAGGTAGGTTATGCACAATCTTTGTGATAATTCTTAAGGAGTAGTATTTTCATTTCTAGAATAATTCACAATATGGACGCGAGACCAAGGCCAGTGTGTCGTGCCGCTAAGCAACTACTGGCAATTGTAGATAATCGACCGCTGATCGACTTGTCTGAAGCGCATTCATCCCTCACTAAGTACCATAAGGTAAGCCTGTGGGTTAGTTGGAATATCCAGCGATTAGAAGATACCTTTTCAGGAGCTGCGACGGGTACAGCAGTTGCGACGGAACTTTTTGCTGATGAAATGCTATTTTGTTAGCTGCCGAGTGAGTTACCTCTGTTGATTTCTGACTG